GTACCTAGAATACCTGCAGATAAATATTCATGTAATGGTCTTGGTAGTCCTTTAGTGAATATATCTGCTAAGTTCTCCTCTGAGGTGCAGTGCTGAACTTTGACTTCATTTGAAGCCATGCGCTCACGAACAAAATGATGACGGATATCAATGTGTTTTGATCGCGCGTGGAATATTGGGTTCTCAGCGAATTTGATCGCTGATTGATTGTCGACCATAATAGTAGTTGCACCATCAGGTGGCAACCCTAATTCGGTTAGAAGCGCTCGCAACCATATTACTTCTCTAGTTGTGTGCGCGAGGGCCATATACTCTGCTTCCATAGTGGATAGGGCTACGGTGGGCTGTTTCTTTGAACTCCAAGTAACAGCTCCCCCTGCATAGGTACAGACATAACCAGATGTTGATCTTCTATCTGTTCTGTCTTCTCCCCAGTCTGAATCTGAATAGGGTATCAGTTCATCTGTAGTCCCTCCATATGTAATTCCTAAGTCTAGAGTCCCCTTCAAGTAACGGAAAACTCGTTTGAGGGCTGTGACATGCTCAGCAGCCGGATTCTGCACATATTTGCTTAATTCCGTGACAGCATGTGCAATATCGGGCCGGGATCCATTTGCCGCATACATCAGAGATCCGACACCAGTGTGGTAATACTGTCTGGTGGCTGTGTCAGTGCCTCGGGGGTCACCTTCGGGGATTTTCTCTAGCCGTACATTCGGGTCCATAGGCATTTTGACCGGTTTACAGTCTTTCATGCCCATTCTCTCGAGTACCTTGAGAATATATGCCTTCTGGGATAAGGTAATAGTGCCCTTCTCCCAATTTCTGTCTATCTTCATGCCCAATATATGTTGAATCTCCCCCATGTCTGTAACATTTAACTTCTTCTTAAGTTCTTCTTTCATGTTAGACATGGTTTCATCATCCTGGGCAAGCAATGTCATGTCATCTACATGCACAGCTATAATTATAGGGCCTGATTTCGCTTGTCTGATGTATACACATTGATCACTGATCAATCTCGTGTATCCAAGTCCCAAAAATGTAGCGTTTAATTTTTCGTTCCAAACTCGGCCAGATTGCTTGAGTCCATACAATGTCAATTTGAGGTGTGCTGCTTTGCCACTTCCATCAGAATATTCTGGCGGTTTGAGCCATGTAAATGGATTCATTGAGCTTTCCATTTAAGTAAGCTCCGACGACATCCATTCCATGTATAATCAAGTTTCTTTGTGCAGCAATGGCCATAAGTAGGCGGAATGTGTCCAGCCTGACAACGGGTGCATATGTCTCGAAGAAATCAATGCCGGGAACCTGCGAAAATCCTTTCGCAACGAGTCTGGCCTTGTATCTGGTGATTTTCCCATCACCATCCCTTTTTAATCTATAAGTCCACTTGCAATTTACAAGTGATCTGTCCTGGGGTAATTCCTCTAACTGCCATGTACCCAGAGAAGTCAATAGATTATATTCTTCATCCATTGCTTTCTTCCAATGATGCCAATCTGGCCTTGTTTTAGCTTCTTCAAGGCTTAATGGCTCATCACTGAGGTTATCTGCAGTCTCCCCCAGACATGCATAGTCTGCTGCTATATTTGCAGTTTCCAAAGGTTCCTGTGTCATTTCACGCTGCAATTCCGGCAGTTTCGTGCCTCTTGCAGCTGGATTATTGAGCAAACCGGTAACTTGGTTGATTGATTGATGAGATCCGGACCGATTTGGTACGTGGCTCGATCACCTTCCCACGCCAAATGGGAAGCTTTGATTTGGTTGCCGGGGCATCAAGGGGCATTTCCCCTTTTGATTCGGCAATTTCGGCAGCCGCGGAATCATCGGAAATGTCATCATTTCCACCTGGAGTCTGCTCGACATTGTTCCCTAACTCCCCCTCGAGCGACGAAGGGGTGGGATACAATATAGTCATTGTCTGTAGGCTCTTTAGTGTTGTCATCAAGGAATATAACATTTCTTGAGGTCTGAATCTGTCTGGTCTGAGAATTATAATATCTCCAGGCCCTAGATTCATCTGTAAGACCTGTAAAAATGAATTCCCTTGATTTCGGGTCGAGTTTTGACCTTTTGTTATCTTGCTGCAACACCCAGCACTTTGCTCCGAACTCCTGGAGTGTTGAAATGTCCGGTTTCATGCCCCAAAACACTTCTTCGGGGGTTAGATCATTCTTGATGGCCTTAGTCGGTGATCGGTTCTTCAGGTACGTGGCATATGCCACGGCCTCGGGCCATAGGAATTTCGGCAAGTGATGTTCTTCTAGCATGGCACGTGCATGCTCCACGAGGGTCCGATTGACTCTCTCCGCAATTCCGTTTTGGGGTGGGGAATATGTGGCAGTCAGTTCCAACTGAATGCCATTGCCATGGAGGTATTCCTTCACCACCTCATTAATGTATTCCTTCCCATTATCAATCCTCATAAACTTCAGGTCCTCCCCTTTGTGGACTTTGATGTATTTCTGGTACTGCTGGATTTTCTTTTGGATCTCCGTACCTTCTTTTGACTTGAGAAAATACAATATTGTCCTCCGGGATTTGCCATCTGTGAAGCTTATGTAATATCTTTCTCCATGGATACCATGAGTTCGGGCTGGCCCCCATAGGTCTGAAAATGTCATTTCACCTATTCTTGTGTATTCCCTTTGAGCTTCTTGCGGAAATGGCTCAACATGGTGCTTGGCCTTTATGCAGGCTTTGCAATCCTTCTGGGGCTCAGCTGACTCATCCACATCCATACCCTTGACCATCTTCTTTCTGAATAATCTCTTTACCGATCCTATATTTAAGTGGCCCATCACTCAGTGCCACTTCTGCCACGATCGGGCCGGTTTAATTGCATGGGCTTGAGTTATTTCTGGCGCAATGATGTCAAGGCTATACAGCTTCGAAATCTTATCTCCATGACCAATTGTCTTGTCACGCGGTGAGATAATATCCATCCGAGATCCTTTGAATTTGAGTTCAAACCCGGCATCCGTGATGCGCCCTAGCGAAATAAGATTGAATGGTGCCTCGGGACAGTGAATACAATCCTTCAGTGTAACTGAAGTAGTCTTGTCCCCTTCAACCATTTTAATCTTTACTGTTCCTCTTCCCAAGCCTTTTGACTTTCCTACACCAATAACTTCATGTCCTGGGGTCTCAACATAGTCAGAAAAATGCAATCTGTTCTTGACTATATGTTTAGTTGTTCCTGAGTCCCCCAGCCATGATGACCCTGCAAGCGTAACAAGTGCAGTGTCTGTAGTGCAAAATGCATAATCTTCTTCATCTGAATCCGATTTGGCAACATGTGCCTGGGTCTGGCCCTTCCCTTTCCCCTTCCATGACTTTCCAGAATTCTTCTTTCCATTTGGGCAGTTTGCCCTGATGTGCCCGGCTTCTCCACATCCGTAACATGTGATTTTTGAGTTAGACTTCTTGCCATGTGCTGCAAGTGTTGTGGTCGGATCAGAAGTCTTTTCTCGTAATCGGATGTCTTCCTGGAGAATTCGGGAGATCAATTTGTAGGAATCTTTCAAATCTGCAGTGTCCACTGATGAAATGAATGAATTCCATGATTCCGGGAGTGATGTAAGCAGTGTAATAGAGAAGTCCTCCTCCTCAACTTTCTGCTTGAGGGATGCCAGCTCCTCTTGATAGGACCTCATAGTCCTGATATGTTCCTCTATGTTTCCCCCTTCTTCACACTGAGCTCTAAAGAATCTCCTTCTAACAAGGACAATTCCCATGGGTCCCCTGGACTCATACATGTCTTTTAGAGCATTCCATGCTTCTTCTGAAGTCTTCGAACCAGCAATATACACCAGCGGGCCATCCGAAACCCGCAACCTTATTGTCGAAAGAGCCTTCCTATCACTCTTCTTCCAATCTGCCACCAGTGCCACTTCTGCCGGGGCCTTGATGCTTCCATCTGCATAATCAATTAGACCTAAATCGGTTAGGATATCGATCATTTTGATTTTCCACGTCGGGTAATTTTCTGGGCCCTTAAGGGGGTCAATTCTGTAAACAGACTGGCTTTCCATGTGGTTCTGTATGTGTACGTAATGTACAAAAGTGCGAAGTAGGTAATGAGGTAAGTAGTTCAGTTAGGGCCGGGGCCCATAACCTGTTGGAAGTACAGAGGAGAGTATGTGAAAGAGAGAATTAATTAGCCTCTCGAGGGAGAGGCATCGTACTTAAATACAAGTTGTACTACTTCTAGAATTTACTACAGATTACTATATGTGTCTACTATTGCGGTTAAATGTTCATGCCGCTTAGTCATGCCGAAGCTTCGAGTGCATTCTAGCACTAACTCGGGATTGCTATCCCAACAACTTACAAGGGCGATTTGGTATACATATTCCTTATTCATCTTGTTTGAATGCGAGACCATGTCCACCGTGTTTTGCGGGATGCAGGGAGAAGTTAGGACAGGGTCGTTGGAAATCGAACCTGAGGTGCCAGGAAGGCACGTGGTCGTGCTTCGCCGCCGGCAACAGAGTGACATAAGACGATTCAGCGGATATCCCGGGCCGTTCTGCCTTACCTGCGTCAACGAAGTTCGAACCCAAAGTCCAACACCAACATCATCAGGTCCAAAGCAGGTGACTGGTTTGGGTGTAACTCTCTATACATTGATAAGGGGTCATCAAACACTCGCCATCATGCATGGTCTGCGCGATACATCCCTCGGTAAATTCAACGGTTATTTTTGTTTCTTTTTCGTCCAAAATCTCGAAATGGGGTTGAAGGAACGATCGCTATAGGAGAGTACATAAGGTATGAACAAAAAAACTCATTGTACACGAATCGAGATAGCTAATCTCAATACTACGTAGTCCATGCAGGCAATCCAAGGTCACTTGATCTTTACGTTCGAAGGAAGGGACCGAGATCCATGAGATGGCCTGTTCCTTTTCTAAAGCTTTCCATATGGGCTTGTAAGTTGACGGGACCTGGATCATTGCCGATCTATAAATAGTATCCTACACGGATAAATCTTTGTACCTAGTGCGTACAGACATATTCTCTTGGGAGATTAATTGTTGAATCAAAGTGAGTAACGTAGCACACATACTTTTCTCCCATATCTCAAATGAGCGTCTCGTTTTCAGGGTGAATAACATGTCCCATGATCAATGTCCTTGATGTGACCTAAAGGCTGGGAAGATTATACCGAATGTTCTCTCACATTATCTCTATTTGTGTCATGATCTCGAATACTAGTCAGCAATCCACCATGTTCAGCATTCGAGGAATCGCACTTGTCACAGGAGCAGGTCCATCTACGTCCTTTTGGCTATATTGAACCTTTACTCACCTCTTCATAGGAAGCGGTATCGGGAGAGCGACTGCTCTTGCATTGGCCCGGGCAGGGGCATCAGGTCTGCATCTAGCCGACCTAAACCGCGGACGCCTGGAAGAAACGATGAAGGACGTCACAGCCGAAGCTACAAACCCCCAGTTTAAAGTTTATATGTCTGAAGCGGATCTGAGCAAGGAGGACCAGGTTATCCGAACGGTTCAGGATGCTGCTAACAACTTCGGGAGAATCGACTACGCTGCCAACATCGCCGGGGTAAGCACATCCTTATGATAGAGTTCTGACTCATGAGATGTACGATAGATATCCGAAAACATTCTTGCGCCGACGGCAGATACATCTGTGGCTACTTATGACCAAGTCAACAACATCAATGCTAGGGGAGTTTTCCTCTGTATGCGCAAGCAGCTGAAGGTAATGCGAGACCAGGAGTCTGTTGCTCACATACCTGGTAGGCCAGGCGTGCGTGGTTCCATCGTAAACATGAGCAGCGTGTACGGATGTCTCGGCGCGAACGGGTTCACGAGCTACGTTACGTCCAAGCACGCAGTTATAGGTCTGACGAAAGCTGCTGGTTCGTTTTGTTTTAACATGATTCTGCAGGTGTGTAACACAGACAATAGCTATCAGTCACAGCGTTGACGGTATTCGCATCAACGCGGTGTGTCCTGGATTTATCGATACGCCAATGGTAGAGAACGTAAGCCAATATTTTGATTTCCCAACCTTGCTGGAGATGGCTGTTCCGATGAAGGTAAGTTGAGTTCTTGTACGACCTCCATCGTATTGATGATCATCTTTAGCGGTTTGGTATGGCTGAGGAAATCGCAGATGTGATCGTCTTCTTGCTGAGCGAGTGTGCAAGCTTTGTAACAGGACATTCGTTCATTGCAGATGGAGGATCTTCCATCTTGTGAATTTCGTTCTGGTTCATTGCGGATATTTCGAAAAGTGTTATATGCTCTTTATTACTAGCGTCATTCGCTGATGTTCTATTTGGGTGCTCTAATTACTCTCTCTTCCACCACGCCCAACTTGGTCCGAAAGAATCTTCATTAGCAGGGCCCGCAGCAACTGGAGGAAAGTCTCCGTCGGTATCTGCCACCCAACACTCGGCAGCTTCCAGTTGTCGCTCCGGCGCGTAGGATTGTAGCTTTGTCTTAAGCCTCGAATAGCTCCGTATGACACCCCGTATGCGTGCATCCAGCATTCTCAAGTCGGACGAGATTTGGGCAAGCTCGTCCGAGGTAGCCGAGGCCTGCTGTGCCGCAAAGTCCAGCGCTTTCGTTTTTCGATCCGTAACGTCAAAACGCACTTTATGAATGAATCTTTGAGATGATGGACCAGGTACTGATAAGGAACGTACTGTGTGATGACCGATGAGCAGAACTGGAGTGCCTCCGTGTCCTCCATGTACAACCGCAAAGTGGAAGCGTTCGTGGATTATGTATAAGCCGAGTCTGAGGGAAATCGATTGAATTTCCTAAGAAAACCAATGAGATTTACCATGATTTGGAAGGGATAAAACGTACTTCGAGCCTTGCCTTCTTTGCGGTGTCCTCTTTCAACCATTGCGAGAAACGGTGGACAGCATAGACAGCGGATGATATAGGCAACAAGTCCAAAAGGGAGCCATTGAGAGCTCAGAGACGCGTTGAATACGAGAAAAGTAAAAGTGGTGATAGGGTTTTTTGGGCCTATAATCTGGTTTGCGATGGCATCAGAAAGTACAGACGACCGTCAGGACATTGGCGACTTACAGGACGGCTGGGTAGATGTATTTCGGTCGAACGCCGTATTTACAAGATTACGGCATTCGTCCTTGGGGATCTCGGAAAGGATAGCCTCGAAAAGAAGCGGGGCAAGGTGGAGTTGGAACTTGAACGTTTGAGTATCAGCGAACATTCAACTTAGGTTTCCAAGTGACGTCCATCGACGGGCCGGTTTTTCCCATTTATCACGTGAACTTGAGGGCTGTCTTTTTAAAAGGTTATTCCGTTTCTCGCGAATAGCTTACTACTACTTCCCGATTACTTTTCCTTCCCGTTTGAGCTAGAAGTATTTCCACATCAGAAACCCAATACCTCGACTATATAGACTAAACGTTCTCCAAGACTGCGTTTTGTTAATACTAAGTTTCAACCAAATCCCAATTCCCTACGCAGGTGTCTGCATATCAACGCAATCGGTCGTACATGTAAGCGA